TGATATAAAAATATAACTGATTTACTATGCAGCTATTAAGATTTACATAATAAATTGCAAATATGGTCAGTTTTGGTTGTTGCGGACAAATAATTTTGTTATATGAGTCAGTCTGAGGTATAAAAACTACTGATATTTGTTTACGATTCAATATTTTGAATAAAAAGAGGGCATGCTGGCACTATAAATTGATGCGAACCAAATTTTTATGGTCATTGTTTTCCAATATAGCGGTCATTTGTATTATACAATCCATCCCGATATAAAAATATTACTGATTTACTATGCGTCTATAAGATTTACATAAAAAAGAGCAAATATGGTCAATTTTGGTTGATGCGGTCAAACAATTTGTTATCAAGTCAGTCTGAGATATGAAAACTACTGATATTTGTTTATGATTCAATATTTTCAATAAAAAGGGAATATTCTAGCACTATAAATTGATGCGAACAACATTTTGTAGTCATTGTTTTCCAATATGGCTATTATTTGTATTATACAATCCATCCTTACATAAAAATATTACTGATTTACTATGCGACTACAAGATTTACATAAAAAAGAGCAAATAAGGTCAGTTTTGGTTGATGCGGAAAAATAATTTTGTTATACGAGTCAGTCTGAGGTATGAAAACTGCTGATATTTGTTAATGATTAAATATTTTGAATATAAAGAGGACATACTGGCACTATAAATTAATGCGAACAAAATGTTGTACTCAATGTGTTCTAATATTGCTGTAATTTGTATTTTACAGTACCTCCTGACCTGAAAATATAACAGAATTACTGTGCAGCTATATATATTTACTTGATAAAGTGCAAATATGGTCAGTTTTGGTTGATGCGGACAAAAATTTTGTTAAACGAGTCAGTCTGAGGTATGAAAACTACTGATATTTGTTTACGATTCAGTATTTTGCATAAAAGAGGACATGCTGGCACTAAAAATTAATGCGACCAAAATTGTGTAGTCATTGTTTTTGAATATAGGTGTCATTTGTATTATACAATCCATCCTGATATAAAAAAAATATAACTGATTTACTATGCAGCTATAAATATTTACATAATAAAGTGCAAATATGGTCAGTTTTGGCTGGGACTATTAGTATAATAGTCCCAGGTTTTGGTTAATGCAGACAAATAATTTTGTTATACGAGTCAGTCTGAGGTATGAAAACTACTGATATTTGTTTACGATTCAATATTTTCAATAAAAAGAGGACATATGGCACTCTCAATTGATGCGAACAAAATTTTGTAGTCATTGTTCTAATATTGCTGTAATTTGTATTATACAGTCCCTCCCCACTGACCTAAAAATATAACATACTTACTGTGCAGCTACATAGATTTACTTGATAAAGTGCAAATATGGTCAGTTTTGGTTGATGCGAACAAATAATTTTGTTATACGTGTCATTCTGAGACATAAAAACTACTGATATTTGTTTACGATTCAATATTTTGAATAAAAAGAGGACATGCTGGTACTCACAACTGATGCGAACAAAATTTGTATTATACAGTACCTCCTGACCTGAAAATATAACTGAATTAGTAATTATTACTGTGCAGCTATATATATTTACTTGATAAAGTGCAAATATGGTCAGTTTTGGTTAATGAGGTCAAATAATTTTGTTAAACGAGGCATTCTAAGTCTAAGATGTGAAAACTGCTGGATTTTGTAATGATTTAATTATTTGAATAAAAGAAGGACATGCTTGAACTGTTTGTTTGTGCAGAAAAAAGAAATTCACTATGATCAATTTTCAGTTAATTAAAGAGGTTGTTATAGTTCAGTTTCTTGTATATTCCTCCATTAATTGTGGAGCACTACCCATAGGGTATAATTGTAGCAACTATATACACCTTAGAACATAAGGAAACATTTAATTATGTACAGATAACATTATTAATTAACTGTTAATGTCAATCGAAAATGAACAGTTGGTCATTTAATTTTGATGTACTTTGTCATTTGATATTTTAGGTCAGTGTATCCAGGATACGATGACAATTTGCGTTAACGCGCGTTTACTACAAACAGTAAAAGTGCATTTACTTTTGACAAAATTAGAAGAATCGCCTTTTTCACGTTAACGCGGAGGTGAACGCGAAAGTAAACGCCCGTTTACTTTTTATGTCTACTGAAATTTCGGAGTTAACGCACAGTTAACGCGGCGTTTACTTGAAGTGCACGCGAGTAAACGCCGCGTTAACTTTTTCCGCCCGTCTACATGTAATGCTTGGTCTGCACCCAACTGTATAGTTGTTAATTTTTGTGTCATTTGATCTCGTGTGGAGAGTTGTCTCATTTGCAATCATACCACATCTTCTTATTTTTATATTATGATTAAAATTGAGAATGGAAATAGGGAATGTGTCAAAGAGACAACAACCCGACCATAGAGCAGACAACAGCCGAAGGCCACCATGGGTCTTCAATGCAGCAAGAAACTCCCGCACCCGGAGGCGTCCTTCAGCTGGCCCCTAAACAAATATGTATACTAGTTTAGTGATAATGGACGTCATACTAAACTCCAAATTATACACAAGAAACTAAAATTAAAAATGATACAAGACTAACAAAGGCCAGAGGCTCCTGACTTGGGACAGGCGCAAAATTGCGGCGGGGTTAAACATGTTTTTTTAGATCTCAACCCTCCCCCTATACCTCTAGCCAATGTAGAAAAAACAAACGTACAACAGTACGCACAGTAAAACTCAGTTTAAGAAAAGTCCGAGTCCGATGTCAGAATAGGAAACAAAAGAAAATAAACAAAATGACAATAATACATAAATAACAACAGACTACTAGCAGTTACTGACATGCCAGCTCCAGACCTCAATTAAACTGATTGAAAGATTATGTCTTCATCATATGAATATCAGGCACAATCCCTCCTGTTAAGGGTTTAGTATTATACCATCATAAAATATATGAGAAGAACATAACCCGTGTCATGCCAACAACTGGTTTTAGAATAAATATGTTTAATTCCGATGCAAAGACCAGGGCTATAAGTGAATCAATATTAAAGCCAAAATATGCAATCTTTAATGACCTGACAACAGTATCGTAACTATATCCCTTCTTAATAAGTCTGTTTAAAGGTTTTGTTAGCTTTTGAGGTGAATACTGACATTTTTGTGCTTTGTAAAGAATATTACCATAAAAGATTGGATTTGAAATACCCGAACGTATAAGATGTCTGCATGTTGAGTTATATTTACAAATGATGTCCTTATACCGATGATAAAATTTAGTAAATGTTTTGACTAGTTTATGATATCGAAAACCCTGGTGTAATAATTTTTCAGTAATACATAAATTTCTCTCGCTAAAATCTAATACGTTGTTACATACACGAGCGAATTGTACAAGTTGAGATATATAAACACCATCTAAAAATGGATAATTAACGATAGGAAATGAAAAATCATCTCTGTTATCATAAATTTTTGTATTGAGCTTCCCGTTAATGATATAGATATCAAGATCGAGGAAAGGACAGTGGTCATTGTTAGTATTAGCTTTATTTAAAGTAAGTTCAACAGGATAAATTTCTTTAGTATACATACTGAAGTCGTCATTATTGAGAGCCAATATATCATCCAAATATCTAAAAGTATTGTTAAATTTTTGTATCAGATGTTGTTTCGATGGGTCTTTGCTGATTTCAGTCATAAATTGTAACTCATAACAATACAAAAACAGGTCCGCAATAAGTGGTGCACAGTTAGTCCCCATTGGAATTCCGATAACTTGACGATATACGGAATCTCCAAAGCGAACAAAAATGTTATCAAGTAAAAATTCAAGGGCAGATATAGTATCAAAGCATGTCCAATTGACATAGCTCTTTTGTTTGTTGCTACTAAAAAATGACCTAAAAGAATTTGAACATATGTATTCGCATTCCGACTTTTTAAATGCCCATTTAATTAGGTGTGTGAATTTTTTCTTAATAAGAATATGAGGCAAAGTGGTATATAGGGTAGAAAAATCAAAACTTTGAACAGATTCAAAATCACCAATATATGCATGCAATTTATCAAGTACTTCCAACGAGATTTTGACACTCCAAAAGTAGTTAATTCCACTATTTTCAAAGGCCTTAATTGAACAATTTATATTCTTCTGTTTGTGTTTAGTATTTCTTTTGTTTACTTAAAAGACCGACGTACTGTGTGCATTATGAGGGTATGGACAATGCCACGTTCTTTGTGCGTTAAAGAACACTTGTAACAACTAATCGTGTGGTAAGGAGGTGGCATCTGGTAAGGACAAAAGTGCGCCATATCCAACATTTTAGTTGTTTCCAGTGACAGTCCAAATTTACAACATCTATATATATATATAGAATATTCAGATTGATCGTGTATTTTTCTGGTCTTGAAGAAGTATTTGCCACTTGAAGTTGCTTAACCAATTCGTCAACTAGATTAACTTTCAAAATTCATTGATGACAGTTTTTACAGAGTGTGATGTCTATTTAGAAACGCTATCAGGCTTGCTGTGTTTCAACCTTATCAGAGAAATATATATTTCGACAATAAGATCCGTGCAGAGGGCATGCCGGGATGAACGCCTCATTTCGACAATAAGATCCGTGCAGAAGGCATGTCGGGATGAACGCCTCATTTCAACAATAAGATCCGTGCAGAGGGCATGCCGGGATGAACGCCTCATTTCGACAATAAGATCCGTGCAGAAGGCATGCCGGGATGAACGCCTCATTTCGACAATAAGATCCGTGCAGAAGGCATGCCGGGATGAACGCCTCATTTTGACAATAAGATCCGTGCAGAAGGCATGCCGTGATGAACGCCTCATCTGGTTTGGCATGTTCAACCCAAACGTAATAACCATATATGTGAAGCGTATACGTTTTACTTTTCGTAATAACCATATATGTGAGGCGTATACGTTTTACATGAAAACGTGATTAGACTTGTTTCTATATAGTTTAAAAAGAATGCCTAAATTGTATATTTGTTATGATAACAAAACGATTTTATTTATAAATTTTAACAGTATATTTGTATAACAATACCCAAAACCAATATCCCATAACCACCTTGTTTAATTCAATTTGTCAGCCTCTGTCTCCCTGAGATACGTATACAATCTCATTTGGTCTTTAGCAAGAGTCGTAATTCCAGACAGGTCAATTCGTTCATCTGGAATACGTAGATAGCGACACTTGTACATGTCTTTCCATAATTCTCCCAATTTTTTTTGATACGCTTCATCATTTGGAAATGCCCTCATTTCTAAAGGCGATCTGTGAGGAAGCAAGCGTTTGCGCTTTTTCAAACCAGCGCTTTGGACACGTTCTTCGGTTTCCGGTGGACCGTGCAAGGCATCCGAAACATTAAATATCGGTATTTCTTCCTCGTCAAGCCGAGCTATGGGATTTTCTTTTAAATAATTCTCAAGTCTGTTAAGAAAATCTTTCGTTTTGAGTTCAATGTCTTCATAAGTTATTTTTTCTTCTTCTAGAAGTTCTTGTCTGCGTTCCTCAAACAAATCGTCTCCTAAATTACTTTCAATATCGTCCGACAAGAAAGGCGTTTTAACATCGCCATTTGTCGGATTATTCCGCTGTTCCTTTTCATTTGCGGAATGAGAAGAGTATGGTGAGTGAGCTGGCATTGAACTTTTTGCACGCTGTGACGTTTTGGTGTCACTTCTTGATAGATTTTTTTCTCTTATAATGGGATTTGCTGTAATTGCACGTTCTAGTTTATTATTGTCAATTGAATTGTTACTTGTCGCTTGTATATTTGCCACACTGAATGGTCGTAGTGATGGTCCACTGATAGAATTTCGCCTTTCATTATTATTGTTTTCATCCGGGGCATCAATAAATACACCAGTAACAGAATTACTCCTTTTTAGATTGAACGGCACAGTTTGATGCCTGGTAAATGATACATCAGTATATTCGCGAGGTGGAAGCGCAGGTAAAACGCTCGTTACCGGGCGTGGTGCACTTTGTAGTTTCAGTCTTTTTGCTGCAGCAGCTATTTTCAGGGCACTGCCAAGATTGACTGTGTTACTTGTATTCCTAAGTTTACCGTCTGCTTCTAACTGTTTCAAATTGACAATTTCGTCCGTAGTGAGATGAGATTTAATTTTTGACACTTTATCCTTCAGCCTCTTGTACGATAATTTTATTCCTCTATGATCAAGATTGATTAATTTCATAGAATATGTTTTTTCTAGATCCAGAGTCTGCATACTTTTTACGAGGCACCTTTTTTCTTTGACGTTGTGGGCCATTGCCGTCATTTCCTTGTCCACTTTTCTACGACCAGGCATCTTGAAATATTAAAATGTCTCCTATATACTATTAAATTTCTGGTCTTACAATAAATCTGAAATAGAAAATAGTACATAATTAAGATGCATAGATGTTACAAAGAATTCAATCAATATAAGATCTGCAACTATAGACTTCGGACTTTGGATTTATCGCTGTTAAAAATCACGAGCTTTATAAATATTATTTTTTGTGCATATGCAGTGCAACATCTATATCTGCACATTTTTTACCGTGACAACGTTACAGCAATGTTTGTTTGTGTTTCTTTTCTTTTCTGTTTTTTTTGTTTTCTTTATCTAGAAACTTTTGTCTGCGTTCTTCAAACAAGTCGTCCCCTACATTCAGTATCGTCCGACAAGAAAGGCAAAAACGCCATTGGTCGGATTTTATAGATAATTTAATACAAATCAAACGAAAAGCTCGCAATTTCATGGATTTAGCATAAAAATGAAATGTGAAATGAATGCCTCTTTTACGTGTTGTAAAATCATTAATCGGGTGCATAATTTTTTTACAAGTCTTTTATTTGTCTTTGTAAATTATTAACCTTATTGTTTCGTCCATTGTGTTATTGTGCTATGGTTATTTTTTATATTCTTGTCTTTCATTTGTGCTTATGTGCTTTGTCTATATGCCATGTTATTCTTATTTTTTTACATATATATATTTGTTTTTATAGTGATTAAAATTTGAACACAATGTTGACTGCTGCACCCCTATTTTTGACATTTTTACCTATTATTTCTGTTTGTTTTGTTCACACATAGTTGTCAATATAAGGGAATTATATGTGACTGTCCTACACAAGTGAAAGGTTTAGCTAGCTATAAAACCAGGTGTAACCCACCATTTTCTACATAAGGAAATGCCTGTACCAAGTCAGGAATATGACAGTTGTTTTCCATTCGTTTGATGTGTTTGAGCTTTTAATTTTGTCATTTCACAAAGGACCTACCGTTTTGAATTTTCCTTGGAGTTCGGTATTTTTGTTATTTTACTTTTTGATATGTAGCAATCTTTGCTTTGGAAACTTTTGCACACAAATAAAACTTAAAAATTAACTACTAGTTTGCAATATTTCTACTGTTTTCTTTCAGAAAACCATTCAAACTTCATTTTTTCATATATACTAACTAGTTATGATTATATTCAATTCATGCAGTTCAAAAACCTACATGACGAATTTAATCCTTTTACAGAAAATATCACTTATTTACCATCATACATTTATTCCTTCTTTCACTGAAGTTTACAATTGGTAATAGGAGTGAAGAAAGGTATATGTATTTACTTAAGCAAAGATTCCTTATAAACAAATATTTATCATTCAAATACCACACAAAAAGTAAAGAAAAGCTAATAAATATGGTTCAGGTTAAGAAAGATTGAATTATAATATCATATATGACACACTGACACGAAAGAAATTTCATTTAAACATTCAAATTAACACAGATATTTACATGACTCGCTTTTGTTCGTGTCCTTGCGCTAAAATCCCTTTTACTTCTTTAAAAGGATTTATTATTTTGGACAAATTAAGAAATATCTGGTTAGAATATGTAAAGGTAGATGAAATATTATTTATGAATAGGCGTTTTACTCGTACTCTCAAAAGATCAGATTTGTTTAAATAAATACGTGTTGTAATAAAGATCGGTTTCTAAGAATATACACCATCAAAGACTTTATTTTACATTAACCTCCACTTAAAACAGACCAAAGAGAATTGCACTCAATGAATATCAAATATATAGATTAAATTTGAAGTGTCAAATTCATTATATCTCTCTTTCAATGTTGGTAAAGGGCTGTTTTACTTATTTATTACTATTATTTTTATATTTATTTAAAAAAAAAAAATCAATTCTTAAGATGTCATATTTTTTTTTGATACAAAGGGTAAGTTGAAATATATCCTTTGTAAAAATATTAATAAGTGTCATTACTTCATGTTTTCAAACCCAACAACAACTTTTTCGAGATAAATGTCAAATATTAACACTTAAGTACATGAAAAATGAAGACAATAAAGCATATTGTTAAGTAGTGTTTCCGATTAAAGACTTTATTATAACACTTTACAACATAAAGCAGATCTGCATTTTCGCTGCATTGTAATAGGTGACTAGTCACCATCTTTAAATTATATATTTTTTTTCTTACTGAATACAGATTTAATCGTAGTTACATTTGAAAGTATTTATGTATTTTTCAACTATGATTTACGTTCATCTTGTTTCCTTGTTTTGATAGGATATGCGCGATATTCAAACGATTGCGATCGGTGAGAATCTGACTACCTCAGTACCTGTATTAAATTTTAATCCTGATAAAAAAAATAATAAAGAGTCATTGAGATAGCTATTTATCAGGGACTCTGATGTAGACAGGTCACCGTACGGCCTTCAACATTAAGTGATTAACTGTTGTCTCCTTACAAGTCCAATGCAGTTTTTTTTTAATGTTCTAAAGTTTAGAATGCCTGTTGTTACTGTAGATCGTCTACACAACGTTATTGTGAAAACAAGAATTGCATTACCAGCCCAGTAGCCAGTATTTCGGTACTGGCATGAAAATGCGGCTTTTTTTGTTATTAAAATTTACTGTTAAAAAATTTTGGAAATCATTTTAAATTAAGGAATATATCTCCCTCACGCAAAGCTCTGATTCCTTGCCCGACTTTGACTTTACTCTTTTGTAATTTTTGGTTTATAAGCTCTTTAAAATTTTAATAAGCTTTTGATTTTCAAATATTTTGGCCTCGAGCATCACTGAAGAGACATTTATTGTCGAAATGCACATCTGGTGCAGAAAAATTGGTACCGTTAATGTTATTGCATGAGACAATGACTTTCCAAATACTTACATTTTTATTCTTATTTGTCATTTTTTTAATGAAATATTTTGACTTAAAGATCGTACAATTTATACAAATCTGATAAGCAATAAATTCAATAACAGAATTTAAAAATAAACGGTATTTAATACCAGCTGTTATATTCTCGTGTGAATTGACATTTATCATTGTTTATAAATAATCTTATCCTTTTTGTTTATATTATAGAATGATTTGTCTATAGATAAGACTGAAATAAGCTGCAAGATAGCAATTTGATATAAATTAAACTTTGTAACGTATGTTTTAAGTTTCATAGTTTCCAGACAAATAAATCAATGTATGCAATCAAAAGCTTCCACTTCTTCAGACCTACTTTTTTTAAATCTAGGATCCTGCATAGAAACATTTACAAACTGGTATACGTAATTATAATTAGTGGCATGGTAGCTCTGCGGCTCTTTTCACAAAAAATATTAAGAATAAAAATACGCGTAAGTCATACACATTTCAGTATAACCTACGATCAATTTTAATCGTAAGATTTTTTGTGAAAAGAGTCGCTGGTGTTGGAAACCGTACTGTAGACGTATTAGACTGAAAATGCCCCTCTTTTTTCATTTTATAAATTTTTAGGATCCTTGTATCAACTCTAAAATAAATTCTACCATCGACTGGTTAAATGACCTTTTATTAACATTTCAATGTGTTTGAATTTAACTTCACGAGAATATTATTGTATGTTTTTAGTTTTTCTATATATATATAGCAATTAGTAAATAAAACTGTGATACCTCAATTAAGAAAAAAGGAAATAAATACCGATTTAAATAATAGATAATATATATTATAATCTTACCCGTCAAAACATGTATATATCGTGAAATATCAGTGTCTTACATATCCATTTTGACCAAGCCTTAGATAAGAAGCTACCCAGGTGAGTATGATAACTCTGTCGTCGTTACAAGTTAAAACAAAGACTTCAGTACACATTAGATAACCCTCAATCATCTACAACACTTAAAATCAACTATTGGTAACGGGTTTCTCATCCAGAGGACACAGATATTGATTTTTGATAATGTATGGCTTCCTATGGGGCGATAATGAAATAGTTGTTGAAAGTTATTGGCTATGATGGAGGTATGAATAGTGATTGACTTGTTTACCTGAATATAAACTAATACTAATGAGTTCTTAGAGCAGCAGGGATCCATATAATCTGTTTTATCACACTATCAATGTTATATAATATTATATACCTACTGATGGGTAATAGATCCTTTTTATTTTAAAGATATAAAAGTATTTTAAAAAATCATATTAGTGGCACATGGGGTATACATCGACGAGACAGGGCTCTTTTCACCACTGGGTATTTTTTCTCGTAAGATTTTTGTGATAAAACGCGAAAAAACCCGACAGCAACAAAAGTATCTCACTAATGAAAAAAATAATATCATATGGATTCAGAAAAAAAGGAAAAAAGAAATCTGAATGTTTCCATCTTGCAATTGAAAAAAAATCATACGTCATACAAATAAGAGTTACTTGCTAGACTCCGACACTTTCTACAGTCAGGAAATCGTCAGTAGTTGTGTAGAGTTACTTGCTAGACTCCGACACTTTCTACAGTCAGGAACATCGTCAGTACTTGTGTAGAGTTACTTGCTAGACTCCGACACTTTCTACAGTCAGTGACATCGTCAGTAGTTGTGTAGAATTACTTGCTAGACTCCGACACTTTCTACAGTCAGGGACATCGTCAGTAGTTGTGTAGAGTTACTTGCTAGACTCCGACACTTTCTACAGTCAGGGACATCGTCAGTACTTGTGTAGAGTTACTTGCTAGACTCCGACACTTTCTACAGTCAGCAACATCGTCAGTAGTTGTGTAGAGTTACTTGCTAGACTCCGACACTTTCTACAGTCAGGAACATCGTCAGTAGTTGTGTAGAGTTACTTGTTAGACTCCGACAGTTTCTATAGTCAGGAACATCGTTTGTAGTTGTGTAGAGTTACTTGCTAGACTCCGACACTTTCTACAGTCAGGAACACCGTCAGTAGTTGTGTAGAGTTACTTGCTAGACTCCGACACTTTCTACAGTTAGGGACATCGTCAGTAGTTGTGTAGAGTTACTTGCTATACTCCGACACTTTCTACAGTCAGGGACATCGTCAGTAGTTGTGTAGAGTTACTTGCTAGACTCCGACACTTTCTACAGTCAGGAACATCGTCAGTAGTTGTGTAGAGTTACTTGCTAGACTCCGACACTTTCTACAGTCAGGGACATCGTCAGTAGTTGTGTAGAGTTACTTGCTAGACTCCGACACTTTCTACAGTCAGGGACATCGTCAGTAGTTGTGTAGAGTTACTTGCTAGACTCCAACACTTTCTACAGTCAGGGACATCGTCAGTAGTTGTGTAGAGTTACTTGCTAGACTCCGACACTTTCTACAGTCAGGGACATCGTCAGTAGTTGTGTAGAGTTACTTGTTAGACTCCGACACCTATAGTCAGGAACATCGTCAGTTGTTGTGTAGAGTTACTTGCTAGACTCCGACACTTTCTACAGTCAGGAACATCGTCAGTAGTTGTGTAGAGTTACTTGCTAGACTCCGACACTTTCTACAGTCAGGAACATCGTCAGTTGTTGTGTAGAGTTACTTGCTAGACTCCGACACTTTCTACAGTCAGGAACATCGTCAGTTGTTGTGTAGAGTTACTTGCTAGACTCCGACACTTTCTACAGTCAGGAACATCGTCAGTTGTTGTGTAGAGTTACTTGCTAGACTCCGACACTTTCTACAGTCAGGAACATCGTCAGTAGTTGTGTTGCCCTTGTTCTTCGTTAATATAAAAATGTTTGTGTCTATTGAGAAATAAAGTGTTGCAAACAGATCTTCGTCGACTACTTTGCAAATTATATGCATATCTTTGTTATAAAAGAAACACACAATATGGATGAAACCTTGCATACAAAGTCGGCTTTCCTGTTATAATAATTTTGATGAAGACATGTTTTTACATAAATTCAAAAAGGCATTTTCGTATAATGAAAAGCTACATCGTATTGGAATATTACACACTCAAATGTCTCAAACATATTATGCACTTAATCACCTCACTTAATTTTTACTACCTATGTACAAATTATGAAATATTACGAATGATCTAAAATCCAGAATTATTCAAATTAAGATGATGATGTAAAGGTTTGAAACATTTTTATAGTTCAACGTTTAGTCAGCACTTTTGTGTTGACACGAGATAGTATTGATATGTTAATTTTCTTTAAATTTACATAAAATGTTAAATTATTGGAATCACCAAGGTTTCTTTTCCTCCAGATATTGGTTGTCTAAGCCCTATTTGGCATAGTTTTTTGGAATTTTCATTTTTTTATATTCTTCAACTTAGTATTTGAGTTGGCCTTCTAACAGTTTGATTCATGCTCCATTGATGAGTTTGTAGAGGAGACGTGCGTCCGTCGTACCCTCGAGATCGTACCAAATTATAAACCTATTCCTGCTCTATTGATGAGTATGTAGAGGAGACGTGCGTCCGTCGTACCCTCGAGATCGTACCAAATTATAAACCTATTCCTGCTCCATTGATGAGTATGTAGAGGAGACGTACGTCTGTCGTACCCTCGAGATCGTACCAAATTACAAACCTATTCCTGCTCCATTGGTGAGTATGTAGAGGAGACATGCGTCTGTCGTACCCTCGAGATCGTACCAAATTATAAACCTGGTAACTTGGATGAGTTTTAATAACAGGTGTACTAATTTTTCCTTTATATTTTATCTCATTATTTCTCCTTTGAATAAAATTATTAATACTGTCTGTTTTGTCATTTATTTCGAGGCTTCTTTATTGTTTTTTAGCTTATATAAATCTTTGTTATGCAATACATACAAAAGTTCAAAGTCACTAGCAGTAAAACGACCCCACGGGATGGATAACTGTAATAATAAAACACAGAAAGACATTACAACGTGTGGCCAACTTACAATTGGGCTAATGAGTCATACTGGGTTAATGCAAATTTGAAAAAAATATGAAATGGAACAACGTCATTTTTTTTCATAATATGTCATGTAAGATTTGTAAATATTTAAGGAATTCTAGCAGAATGATTCAGAAAAAAAAGTTCTAATACGTGACAGCAGAGGCTCCACGGGCCGCTCTTTTCGCAGTTATAATTGTTTCGAGGAGATAAGATTTGAATAATTGTGGTAAATTATTTAGATTTAGTTGTCATTAACAAAAATAGCTTAGGTTTTTTTACGAAAATTCAATTTAATCGAACCACAAGAAACTTTTCATATATATATATATACGAAAATAAATCGTTTGTAAACTTTAATACAAGATTTAACTTTTGAAGTGACAAATCTGTTTTCTACGATGACTGAATATATTAACTTACAAATAACATCATGAAGGAATAATTGTATTGGAAAATCTGCATTAATACGCTGGTAAACAAGATTATTACAAAACAGAATACGAATTACCAAATCTTTTACAAAAGGATTGAACTACGGGAATATTTTATTGAGATTGTTACAATAAATTTCTATATAACCTAACTTACATTCGAGATGGAAAATTAATCAATTTCCGCTTTCCCCTATAAAAACTATAGGTCTCATTCGCGATGACAATACTACAAATATGTATTGACGCAATATATTACAGAACAAAGAGAAGTCAATAAAGGTATCTGCTTCAACTGAGCCATCAACGGCGGTTGTGTGAAGTTGGCTTAATTTACTTTATTTATATTTGATGGACTAAAATTAGAACTTAATTAAGCCAAGCAAACATTTCTATCAATAAATATTGGCAATACAATATAAAACAAGGTTCAAAGCACGCATCATATATTAGGCATAAGACATTTTTTTAATATTTCTAATATTATACAAACAATTTTTTATATGATTTTTTTTTAGTTACTCATATTTCGTTTAAAAGCCATAGTAGTACGAGAATTACGCCATTAAATTGAATTTAAAGACAAAATATATTATTCTTAAATTATTCTTAAATGTATATACATGTGAATATATTGTATACGTTGCTTCCCCAAGAACAGTAAACAAGAGGTTTTTTTTTAAAGAAATGAAGTCGACAAGCTAAAACGTCTCGCTTACAACGTATAATCTGTTAGTGACAACATCCTGTTGCATATACATATATTACAATCTAATGGTTTTGGAAGTACACATGTATAATGCCAATTCACAATATTCATGTTTTATCTTTAGTAGGGAACTAATAATTTTCCTTTTGTTCAAGCTTTTGATTTTTTTGTATTTGCTTTTGGTGTAGTACCACCAAATCATAGTACGTCACATCCGGTTTCATGCGAAAAAGGGTCGAAAAAAAATTCCCTTGAATTTGACAGATGTTGGAAGTAAATTCTGCATTTCATTACAGAAAAAAAATTCTGAGTCATAAACATATATCTTGGGTGTTTCAAAGTACCATTTTTCAAAACTTGGTGTTTCTATAAGATATTTTGGAAACTTGAGGTTACATGGTTACTAAAGCTTGTCAACAAGAAAAAAAGGGGGGAAATGATTGGTTAACCTCCAGTGATGGTTATTATCTTATATGCAATGAAATGTATGTGAAATTTTGTCTGTAGTACTAGACAGGATCAAACTTTACTCATGCCAAGTATTTCTTTATTTGAAACAAAGATAAAATCTGCACAATTTTTTTTTGAAAAGTGCCAATTTAACAATGACTAATAGGGGGAAAACAATAGTGGTTTTTCTCCTTTAGAGATCTATTTCTTCCACCTTTTGGTTTCATAGCTTGCATGTTTATGTTCGTTTTGTTCGACTGTCAAATTTTTAATCATCACCTTTGACTCAATATCAATAACTTTTTTTTCTTTTCATGTTCTTAATATGAACGGTGTATTATGTTTTTAACTTTATTTTTGGTGGTCCCTCGTCCAAATGTATTGTCAGATTTATGTGTGTTTTTCCTA